TATTTGTTTACATAAGTGACGTGGGATGACAGCCTGATTAATGGGTGTTCTATGCCGCCTATGTTATATCAAAATTCCATTCGTCGAGATTTTCCCTCAATTTGCTTGATCGTTGAACAATTACCGCGTAATTGCATAAAATTTTGGAATGTTCTTCAAGGAACAGACCCAGCACTTTCTATATTTTCCTTGTTTTGGCAGGGCTATTTTCTGACAACCTTTCCCAAATACAGTCTTCAGGAATTTCATGGTTCGTCATTGAATCCTCAAACTCGGTTTCCACCGATTTCCTCGTTAGAAGAGTGAAATTCAAAAGAAAGCAAGCGAGGGAAGATTCTGATTATAGCATAGAAAACCAAGCCCACTTCAAGATGCATGGAAAGAGGAGATAAAGAGACCTATGTGGCTGGATCAGTCTCGATGCCGCTACTATTTTACGAGAGGCTTTAGTATGTTATTGACTTGGTGTTTATCTTGTTTCGTTTCATGTCTTGCCGTAAATCTGTCTATTTATGATTATCGTGTTGTCACCGTTTTAAATCGTAGTTAGACAGCCGGTAACAGCAAAACTCTTTTTCCAAGCCGCATCCGATTAGACCTATCCATTCATATAGAAAGCAAGATTGCTACGGAATTTCCCACGGTTAGAGAGTGGTCGCTGGTTTCCGTATATCCGTTCCAAATTATTTAAACAATAGAAAGTCATGTATTTATGTCAAACTGTTTACGAAATCTAATTTCAAATAATTGCTATATTCTTTTTGAAACATAATAAGTGACGCCACGCCGTTTTCAAAAAACGATCAATTGTCAAAACTACGAAATCTCTAGACCCCTGATAGTACATGAGTCGATGCAGGTGCCTCTGTGTTCGTAACTTTTCCAAGGGATGTTTTGTTCGTGCATGGTGAACACTGCTCAACGCTGTATGCTTCATAATCAAACAGCAACTTTGCCTATATTTTGCCAAACGCGGTACTGTAGAAAACACCGTAACCGTAAAACAACATCGTGCAGCGTGACGAGGCATACGTATCACATGACACGTTGACAGATGCGCGAACTTGAAACAAGTCCCTGGATTTCCGCTCGCCTCCGCGTTAACACATCCCCAGTGACTCGAATGAGGCGACGGCGCCGATCGTTGTGAAACAGGTCAGACAGAGAGTGATCGACCGTGGACATGGTGCGCGGGCACCAGCCCTTAGCCTCGTTAGACAGGCAACGCTGTTTGACATCAACACGTCGTTTAACGGTTCCACGTGTCAGTTCATGATTGACGATCGCTTGGCACGTCGCGACAATGCAAACGCCTAAAAACGGACACAACATCGAAATCGATTCGAAATCACTGTAAGAATGTCATTCACGCCACTAGAATCCGCTTAGGGCGCGAAACTGAACTCTGGCAGATTTCTTCACTGTCGTGAGACAAGTCGGCGTGACAGGAGGCAGGAGGATATTTTGACTTCCGATGCAAGCACAGAAACCGTGGCTCCTCATCCACGTTCGTATCAGCACAAGGCATTGCGAAGTTCTGGCTGGCACTCACGGTAGAGCCACCACAAGGCAAGATGGACCTAAGAAAGAAAGCCTGGACTATTAATTTTTTTATTACAGTAATCACTACCGCCGGCATATCCGTCTCCATTCACATTCACAGCTCGCTTGAATGTCGATCACGAGCAATGTTCAGTCCATTTCTCGTCCACCGTTTATACCCGTACACCGCTGGCCCAGAGAGGATTTCAACGTCACCTTGGCAGTGTCCCATTAGGACTTAACTTTTTCGCTTCCATTTAGGGATCGGGTGGTTAATTCAGTGTAATGGAGGTGATATTATCTGGTGAACGTCCCAGCACGTGTACGATTAGTGAGTGTGCACAAAGATGAGCGTTATATGGCACGCCCCCAGGTAGTAGATAGATGAATGACCCCCCCCCCCAGATATGGGGGTCAGCTGTGACGGATATGCAGCCGTCGACAAATAGCAGTTGGTGCAATCAGAGTTGTTGGGGATGGGTCCGGCAAACCATCCCTTATAAGTTAGCCACTTATTACCCATGAACAGTTAGGAATGAGCCGCCAGTAATGAGGCCACTAATTTCGTCGCTGCCCTTCGGCTAGATCTTGCAAGGTCAAAGGTTAGAAGGGACAACTTTCATAATTAACCAGGCCGAAGTTACGCTTGTTTGTATCAACCAACTACCGTAAAAGCCATTCATGGAACGCTCTTTCTATATAATTAACAGAGCTTGGCTACCAATGATGAGTCATCCTTTGGCTAAATAGAATTGCCATGATTTCTCGACTGATAATATTCAATTTTACATGTCAGGTTTATCAATCCAACTTCCACGCATATTCTCACCCTTTTGTCTTAAATTGTCAATAGGTCATGAATCTTGTACCGTTTTAGCTCGTCTCCACAAAGGCGCAAGTGGGGTTATTACCCTAATTTTGACCTGTGTCACCATGAGGTGTAAAATCGCACTAGATGTTGATGCGGATTCAGAATGATTACGCACTGTTTGATTCTGTCAGTTAAAGGAACCATTCTTTTGTGTAGACGTTCCCGGAAGGTTCAGTAAGGCAGTGTCTAAATAATTGAAGTCAGTACCTATGGTCTTCCTTCTTGGTAATACAACCATTGTTCTCCACTCCACTTTGCCTTCCTCAGAGTCAATGCAGTTTGATAGAGATGTGTTAGTCTCCATATGACTTGTTCACCTAAAGCTTTAAGCATCTCAGGGACGATTTCATAGAATTTAGTACTTATGCCACTTTTCAAGCAACCTTTTACAGCTTCTGCCATTTCGTTAATCTGTAAGACTAGTATCTATTGCTTGCTGCTGTTCAAATGTCCTCCTGCTCGGACCAGTGTCATTTTTTCAAATTTTTAAATTAGATTTTGATTTGTTTTTTATCTCGTGACATTTTTAAACACATTGTCCCCTCTTATAAAGAAATTTTGTAGGATGTAATTAATTTGCTGCTTAATTTACGTATATTTTTCTTTTCAATACCGACGCTGCAAAGCAGCATTCTCTGAGAATCTTATTTCAGCAGTAAAATTTCAATTACTTTTGAAGACACAAGAAAATGAACAACCATTTTGAAAATATGAGTAATTTAATGCAACAGAAATATGGACCAAAGCTCATCACACCCGTAAGACACAAAACTTCAGTGGAGCATCAGAGCTAAAAACTTTCGGAAAACGTCGGTTTTCAAGTTCTTGACTTCAGTCATGTTCCTCCAGTAATGCGGCACGTCGAAAAATTGATTGTCTAAATTACAAATATGTTAAATTTTATCTTCGATAATGGTGACTTCTCACTTCCGTCGAAATATACAATATTTTTTATCCCCTTGTCATCGGAAAAATCGGTGGTGTTCAGTTGAAAAATCACGAAATCTAGGACATTATCGCAACATTGGATACACTGGGTCACGATGGGGACCGGCAAAACCCCTTTGTAATTCTAAAAAAGCACAAGCAATTAAGATATAAAAGGCTACTGCAAAAAACTAAAGATTAGGCATAGGAATATGTAAGAAATTAAGGAAGTTTCAGTACGGTAACCCAATATCAAGCAAGGCATTTACATCTACGAAAAATCATACCTACGTTTAGCACATTAAACTAACCGGTAAAGTAAGGTGGTTCTAGCACAGGTCAGAGAACTGCTGGATCGAATACATTTTAAAAACTTAAACGATATATTGCCATGCTCACAAGGAGAACACCCTGTGAACTATTTTCAACATCACATATGCAGGGATTTCGTGCACATTTTGGAGACACTTCGAATAGCCCTGCCTGATTACATATATGTGGATAGATAATGAATCAATTAACAAATGAGTGAGTCTGACAAAGGAATAAACATGAGTGAATAAATAAATGACTAATAACATCATAACTAAACAACAATGATTAATATACCATCAATCAGTGCCAAGATTGTCCAATATACGAGGAGTAAGAACGGCAGCTCCGCCTTAAGCGGTAGGATTTTGCACTAACTGCAGCGTCTGATCACCCGCAGAATCTTTCTTTGCTGAATCGCCCTAACTGGCAATGCAGCGTAACTATAGGCAGGATTTCTGCTGATACTGAGCTCACAACTGCAGCAATATTAGCACTCAAACAGTAGTCTCGCTACAGCTTCATGACTATAACTCTTACTTGACAACTTCCCACTAAATTCTGAGTAATCTAACTCTGACCCCGTAAACTGCTACAGTATTTGGAGGCAAACGTCGCAGGCCAACTGACCAAGCAAACTGAAGATGATATCACACCAATCATCTTGTTACAAGCCATGTCCGTTAAGCGACGTCGAAACCCGATTTAAGATGATCAAGAACAATGGAAAACCAACCATTTTTATGTGTCTGTCTCCTTGTAGCTCAGCCACTGACTTCATCTAATAGTCAAAGCCATGAGTTTTATTATTTCGATCCAGCTTTCTTTAAAATACACTACTAGGCTAAATAAAAAGACTGCTTCCACTTCCGAGCGTCCAACAGGAAAGACAAAACCCAAATTGACAAAGCAACGGTTTGCAATGGTCCTTTCCACACAGTTGAAAAGTAATTGAGAGGTAGCTCATATAGAATCCCTGTTCAGGTTCCAGTACACAAGAGATAAGCAGGGAAGCCCATCTGCTAGCTTTAACTATTCTTTGCGCAACCGCATGCCGGTCCAAACAAAAAAATATAGAGCCTCCATTTCTACTACAATCCGATAACACAACAGAAAACATCACACATTCAAAACAACGAAACTGTTTGACAGAAAGCGGTGGCACTATAAGACGATTAAAACGTAGCTGCTCAGTCGCACAGCTTCAAACTCAGAACCGAGGGGCCCAGATTCCAAATCAGGGTCACTTGTCATTCTTTCTTAGGAGGTAGATAAATGAGCTCTATCCGATAGAAAGGAAAGAAGATTATGCTCTATGCTTATAACCATAGATGCCACTAAATGGTCTTTTGAAAAAACAGGATTCCTGGCTAATGACATGGAGAAAAGATCATAACTGCTTAACACAGTGAAACAGAACGATGCCAGAAATGGCCCTATCATCAAAGTGCAAGGAGGACCCACAATCAAAAGCTAAAAAATTTTCATTTCTTTTTACATTACGCCATGACGTTATCCTCACCTGAGAATAGCAAAACTTTAAGAAATAAGTTGGTCACACCGTGAAAATCTGAAAATCACCCGGAATTTCTTGCCCCGCATCACTCTATCGTTCAGTTGATGTAGACCACTGAGATTCAGCTTGGTCGAATGGGTTCTACAGACACTGCATTTAAAGGAAAGTGTGCAATGCGATTTCAAAGTGTAATCCGAAGTAATAAGTTGTAACGCATACACCGTATTTCTGTTTCGCCGCTACCATAACGGCAGTAAAACAGCACAAGATAGCATTTCCTGTGGTTTCCGATGCCGTCCATGGATGATAGTAATCCTTGTCTTTGTTAATCAACAACGTGTGCATCGACAGCGGCGACGAGGGCAACTCAGGAGCTAAAAAAAGCCAGCCATAAAAACTATGACAATCTATAAAAATTAACGCCAAAAATCCGGTAACTTTCATAAAGAAACTCATAAAAACTCGATCTCCGTGCACTTTAATACAATGAGTGTATAAAAGGATGAAAGTAAAGGATCGTGTGGTACAACAAACTTCTGCAGAATCTGTTCTGTCCAGCTGCTAGAATAATCGCTAACAGTGGGGGTCGGATAACGAGGTAATGGTGAAAAAATGAACAAATTTCATCATGTCCCAATGGTCATTAATTTGTTCATCTATGGCAGAAAAGACCAAGCGAAGCCGATGGCAAAAATTCTATCGAAGTAAAAGTTTTGCCGTTAGGCTTTGTCTGGTACCTTCAGCCATTCATGGGTCAATAAGATAGCTACAGCTGATTCTATCAACGCACTCGTAACTGAAAACGTCAAATCATATCAATTTCCTCATGTTAAGTCTGTCTATAAAGGCTTTTTCTAAATGCAGCACGAAAGAAGCCGAAGTTGTGAACGAACGATGACACAAAACCAACTACAATGAAGTTTCCGCCATTTACAAACTTCAACAAGTTAAAAGGACGTTGGCTTCGTCAAAGCTGCTATGCCCAACCCAATGTTTCAGCTTATGATTCTCGAAAGCTCACAGGGATTCTAACTCAGAAGATGGTATGGTTCCTTCGCAGATCATACGAAAGCTGTGCGGAAAGCCGCATGCAGGAGTTATGTTCATAGTTGGTCTACACTTGTATGCTATATTTTCTGTGTTATTACTTTGAAAGAACTGATTAAGCTTTCCTTGCAAA